AGAAGCGGAGATAAGGACGATAGATGTTTGATAGGAAAGAAGGAGCAAACCACACCAGAGCACCCGCCAACCACCCACAATTAACTCTTTGAAGACGTAGCGGACACATACCTCTGATCAGCAGCAGACCAAAGCCAATAATGCTGCACATTTCCAACCTTTATACACAAATCAGAAACATGAATTTGCATATTTTGTAGAAAGCACATTATTGGCTGCCTTTTTAAGTTTAAAATCACGGAATTGAAATATCTGTGTATGAATTAGGAAGTTATGGATCTTTTTTTAAGTATCCCGAAACTAAACAACGTGTCTTCTGGCGTGACAAATTTCGTGTCCTTTAATGAGTTTATACATGTGTGAGGCAGCGTGGTGAAATCAGGCGCACTCGTCAAAATAATCAAAGCAAAGAAACTAGCATTTTTCCACAGGTTACAAGTGAATTTTTGTTTTTTGACAAAACACTTTTCATGCCCATTAAAGAACACATTTCTGTGTGGATTTTTATTGAAAAACGTTGATTAAAGGCACAATTTAATGTAAATTTTCAGTTTCCACGTACTCTCAAGCAAAGGAATCATAGATCTAGTCTTTGGTGGTCATTTTCCCACTAATTTTACCTCTGAAACCAGGTTACCCCCACAACCTCCTTCATTCGCAAATATCTCAACTTGTATTCAAGGTAAATGGATATTTTTTTCATCCAAAGTAAGAAAAATAAATCAGCTTTCAGACGATACCAAAAACTCCACATGCCCAAAAATTGACAAGCGCCTGATTCCATTGCATTGTGCGACATATTCAATAATTGAGAAAAAAACAAAACTAAATCCCTGGGACAGCCCTGTTGCTTACATGACACTATAGCCACAGTCCAGATGACCTTGTTTCTTTCCCTAACACCCTGCCACCCTGCCTCCGAAAACTTACTTGAGTTACTGCACAGCCTAGTTGCAAACCCTGCTACGTGGAGCGATGAAGGTATGTGTGACCTAGTTTCAAACCCAGCTATAAATAGTGTGCTACTGGTATGTAACCTAGATGCGATAGAAGATGCGATACAGCTGAGTATAT